GTGGGACGAAAGCAGTACCAAATGCCCCACATTTAGCAAGAACATCTCTCATCCATTCTTTCCTCCACCACCTTTCAGTCACAACATGTGCTCACAGACATGAAAATTGCTCCTTGTTCCTGTTTATGGGAAACTGACTTGTAAGATCAAACACTGTCTTATTTTGAGAAAATGAGCAGCAGCATAATGTGGGTCAAGAGTGGTGAGGTGCATGGAAGTAGGATCTGAAATAGGTAGAAAAGGTATCTTTAACTTCCTCTTCCCTTCAGATCACAAAATCCCTCCACACACATAAAACTGCCTTATACTGACTCAAACCAGTGGCCTGTCAAGGTCAGTATTGTCTACTCTGACCGGCAGTGGCTCTTCTTGGTCTCAGGCGGAGACCTTACATGTCACCCACTGTCTGATCACTTTAACTGGAGATTGCAGTTATTTTGGAACATGGGACTCCCCGCATGCAGAACAGATGTTTGTCTGTTAAGCTCTTCCAAGGCAAAAGGAGCATGTACTGGATGGGGCAGCTTTGTAGTTTAGGTGGATTTATACTGAAACAGCAACCCAGCTCAAGCCCTCATCACAGGTTCTAGGCCTCTGTATCCTTTCTGCCTTCTGCACCTTTGCTGCCGTCTCTGTAGTTCACCAAGCTTTTGGGGCCCGCTGTACCCACAAAAGCACCAGGCAGCCACACTTTATCGTGCTCCCCTCTTTATACTGTACTATTCTGTTATTGCTCAACTCTTATGACCCAGCAGGTTTCTGATTCTCATACACCTCACGCCTGTCCTTCAAGCCACTTGCCTTTTTTTGCTCAAAGCTTCCTTTCGGCTGTTGCTCAGGATTTTTTTTTTTTTGGCTTTCTGCTGAGCTTCTCCTGGCTTTCATCTAACATCAAACCTCCCATCCTTCCTCCAGTCTTTGATGATCAGGAGCAGCATAAACTACATGTCCTGAGACATCAATAGGAAGAGAGAGCTCCTTCCACCAGCTGCTGCTGCTGAAGCCCCACCAGCCACACAAAGTGCTGTGCTTGGCATCTGCCTGGAGTTGCCTCGTGGTGAGGCTGGCCCTAGAGAATCAGCGGCTTGCCCTTTGCTACTTTCTTCAAAGGTCACCCAGGACTTAATCCTCAAGCTACTTATTCCAGAAGTGTCTGTAGAGTCAGTGGTTTATGGCATGTGCTTATCTGTCTTGGTGTAAGCCTGGACACACAGTGAAGAAGTGCTGAGCATCTGTAAAAGTTTTCTCTTTCACTAGCTCTCCTTTTGCCCTGGCTGTTATTAGGTGGGTTCCCAGTTCAGGACAGGAAGGAGGCATCCAATGAGGTCCAAAGATTTGTCCTTGAATACATTCAAGAGTATATAATTTTCTTTACATATTATGAGGTAGATATCAGTGTTGTCAGCAGTGTTCCTTCTAAGCTGAGTTAGTGTGAGCTAGCTCACAGTTTTTTAGCCTCTGGCTCACACATTTTTGTCTTAGCACAGGAAGGATGGCTCCAGAGCAAACTGATTTATGCAGTAGCCAAATCCCTTGCTCACAACTTTAATGCCAGTAGCTCACAAAGTAGAATTTTTGCTCACAAGACTCCACAGCTTAGAGGGAACATCGGTTGTCAGTGACCTGCTTTTCTTCGAATCAGTTTCTGCCTTGAGTACACAGTGTTTAGTCCCATTTAGCAGTTTATAACAACAGTCATTCAGTGTATAGAATCACTGAGCTGACCCAGAAATAAAGGTGCTCCAGAGGAACAATCTGAAATGCCTGTGATTGTTACCTTGGCTTGTCATAGGAACTTAGTACTTCTCTGAAAATTAGAATTTAACAACATTTTTCCAGGGCTTTGTTAAACTCGTCTCCATATTATACGAGCAGTCGGCTGCAGTTACCTTGGGGACCTCCATTAGCCTCTAGTGAATTACTTTTTGCCACTGTATAGAGGTAAGCCTGTGTGTATTTGAAACAAATTCAGTTTTGCTGAGCCAGCTCAGATGAGGAGACCCATACTGTGCACTTAATGCTGCCAGGGCCGGCTCGCGAACTAGGAGAACTAGGTGTTCGCCTAGAGCGGGCCAGCCCTTAGGGGCGCCAAACTGCACCCGCCCCCCCACCAAAAGCCCCCCTACCCAGCACAGCCCATTCCTGTGACCTGCCAGCCCGTGGGAGGCTCCACCGGCAGGGGCCGTGAAAGGCGCTGGGCAGCTGGGTGAGGCAGCAGCCGGGCAGAGTGGGTCAGTCGGTGCGGAAATCCTCTGGCCACCGGCAGCAGCACCCAAGTGAGGGGGGGCAATGCACAGGGGGGGCAATGCACAGGGGGCGCCAGAAGGGATCCTCGCGTAGGGTGCAAAATAAGATGGGGCCGGCCCTGAATGCTGCTCCTTCTTTACTGACCCCAAACACCTCTGCACTGACAGGATAGAGCACTGTTGTGCAGTTGAAAGGGGGCCCCTGAGAGCAGTGTCCAAAATGCAGTTCCCAGTGTGGACAGAGCATTGCTTGATTGAAAGAGCTTGATTGAAATCTCTCCTTTGTCACTAATCATGTGAGTGCAGGCAAAACTCTCCCTACATCTCAGTCCTTTCTCTGTAAAATGGGAGTAATACTGCAGTGCCTGATAAAGATGTTGTAACGGAGAGGGTAATGAAGATGGTTAAGCATTTTGCTATATAGATACCAAAAGCATGACAGGTGGCAGTCTGCTCAGATGGCTTTTAAAGGCTCAATCTCTTTCTAATTATAGGCTGAGCACATAACATGTTCACCCTGAAATCCTCTACAGAGGGATGGCTCATTAATTAGCAAGCAAGGAAGGATGTGATAAAAAAAATAAGTGGGAAGCCTAGCCGTTTGCTTAACAGCATATTTTCTCATTGGCTCGAGCATTCTGAGTGAGCTCTCAGTGCCTTCCACACTCCCACTGCGCACACTAAAGGGCATTAGGCTTCGCTGAGCAGCTTTATTATCATACATTAACCTTAACAAGGTAGAACAGTCTTTTTCTGCAGTGCAAGGGTAATTAAATCTAAACACTCTTGGCCTTTCCAGGGTTTGTTCAACAAAAAATTTGTTAACCAACTCTCTTTTCTCCCCACCCCTCATATCGCCCACAATAGTCAGCATTTTCCCAAACACCACTTCTCCCCCCCGACATGTAATGCAGTAAAATACAGTTCTCCTTATTTATTTATTTATTTATTTATTTATTTATTTATTTATTTATCAATCATATTTATAGCCCGCCCACCCCGCAAGCAGGCTCAGGGTGGGTAACAACATTTCAACAGTACAATAAATAGAGTGAAAACCTTAAAACACAGTAGTACACATTAAATTAAATTCAAGTTCTGGCTCAAGAACTGGATCACCTCTGTTGCATATTTGAATTATGGGATGTACTGTACCCACTACAGTCCACAACAGTAATTGAAAGGCTTGTTCATTCAGCTAGTCAAGAGCACTGGCTAAGAGAGCCTGAGCTATGAAATAGAGACAGCTCAGATACCTTTGTCCAAGAGTAGGGTTGCCAGGTCGGATCGACACGGCAGCAGGGGAGGGGGAGGGGCTTTCCGGGAATTGAGGGGGAGCATTCGACATGCGCACAATGTAATGACGTCATCATGTCAGCGATTTCGCAAGGTGACGCTCCAGTATTTTGGGCAAAACTATGGTTACCATAGAGTTTTGCCCAAAATACCAGAGCATTGCTGCATGGTGTCACCAACGTGAAGGGCAGTCTCTGTAGCCAGATTTCCCTCCATGGTGGTGGAGGGGTAATATAAAAAGATCCCTGTCAGTGAGGGTTTGCCCTTGTGGAGTTGGTGTCATTGAAACCACTGAACGTGTTTTGCTTCACTGCTAGTTCTATCAGGAAATTCACGTAAAGATTATCCTCCCTTTGCACAGAAGGTATCTGGACCACTCTGACCCTGAGTTTACCAGGATGCTTCTTATGAGTGTTCATCCTCAGATTACAGCTCTCAGTGCGAGGTTTTTCGCAGCTGCTTGCAAAATATTCCAGGAAATTTTATGTGGCATAATAGAATGTTAACTATAATTATTAATTGGTTTTAACTTGTAATATTGTATATTTTATATATGATATATCTTATATATTTTTAATATTGGACTAATTCCCTGTAATTCATACATAATCCAGCTGTACAGCTGTTATGTGATTTGTGCAGGTCTTTGACCATATCAGTAAATGGCAACGTCACGTTTGGGGACAGGATCCCCCCCCCCCCCCGCTGGCCAGCTGGCCAGCGACAGGGAAGTGGCCCAAAAATCCGGGGATACCCCACCTCACCCCAAACTGAGGAATGACATCCCTATCCAAGACTTCAGCACATGAACACATGAATCTGCCTTCTACTGAGTCAGGCCATTGGTCTGTCAAGGTAGACCACATGCTCTGGATGCGGAAGGTCCCAGGTTCTGTGCCTGGCATATCTAGTCAAACAACTCTCAGAGAGCAAGACTACAAAAGATCCTTCTCCTCCACATGCACTATACAACCACTCTCTATGTCGACCTAGATGGACCAGTGATCTGCCTCAGCATGGCACAGCTTCATATGTCCATATGCCAGTTCCTTTTATTATAATATGAGGTCTTTTAGACACATTCCTGATTTTAACTGAATGTGGATTTTATTGCAAATTGTTTTATTCTGTATCGTGCACTACATTTGAAGGAATTGTAAGTCAGAAAGGTTTTAAATAAAATAAGTGTTTTCCATTTTAAGACCATCTACCAAACTCTGAATACAAAAATGCCTAAACTAGATTTATTGGCTTTCCTGCTAGAGTGAATCAGGGTAACGACTTCTAGGTTTAGGCCTAATTGTTTCTCTTTTTGGATTTGTAAACCATGGCAGGTACCAGAAGTTCATCGGAACCTTTGTATTAGGTCCCCAGGTATCCTAATTAGACTTTATACATTTGTCTTGTGAATCTGCGTGTTGCATTTTGCTAATCATTTTTTCCTCATTTATTCTCTAGATGATGCATATTTACTGCAGGGACTTAATATCGAGGAACTTTACCCCGAAACCTCTAGCTTCATTACATATGATGGGTCAATGACAATTCCACCCTGTTATGAAACAGCAAGTTGGATACTAATGAACAAACCTGTCTACATAACCAGGATGCAGGTAAAAAAAAAAAAAGCATTCTTGAATCTATATGACACATCATCTACTAGAGGAAAGCATTTCAGTCCTTAAAGATTAACATGAGAATAAACTATCAGTGCATTCCTAAACAGAGTTACACCCTTCTAAGCCAATTGACTTCAGTGAGCTCAGGTGAATGTAACTCTGCTTGGGGATTGCACTGTAAGGGCCATAGCCAGAGTTTTTGGCTGGCCATTTCAAATATGTGAACTTCAGCCTCTTTCACCTCTCCAGCTCCTGGCCATGGGTGTTGTTTGTTCCCTTGCCTGTTCTCTCTCCCCTGCCTTTCCTTCATCTTTAATATTCCTTCCTCTTGCCATCTTCTTTTAGGATTCCCAGCCCTCAGGTAGGAGTGGGGGATCCCCCATTTTGCAGGCTCCTGCCCCCCGCCAGCCAACTGGCCAGCGGGGGGAAGCCCCACCCCAACTGCCACGACCTGGCATGACATCCCCAGCCTGATGATGTTACATGGAAGTGACATCATCACGCAGAGGACATCCCACAGCAAGGCTCTGGTATTTTGGGCAAAACTCTGTAGTAACCATAGAGTTTTGCCCAAAATACCAGAGCGTCACCACATGACATCCCCAGTGTGATGATGTCACTTCTGTGTGATGTCATCACATTGGGGACGTCACATACGGGGATGTCACCCCGCCACCTCACTCCCAGAAATCTCCCTCTTACCCTCCCACCAGCGAGAGCGCAGGACCTGGCAACCCTCTCTTCTCTTCCTCCTGAAGCACTCCCTCTCCCAAGCTTACTTTCATAGGTCCCTGCTTCCTGTACCCTTATTTTCGTAGGACCATCCAGCTGTCTTGTGTAGTGTTACAGCAGCTCACCCTGCCCAAGCCTCTGTGACTGCCCAGCCCCTCTGTGACCTGCACACAGGTGAGCCAATCATTGCCAGATGCACTTCAAACTGAGCATATTTGGGGTGACAGGCAGGCAGCTCAGCCAGCAAACTGCCAGAGGTGTTATCACTATGACTGCTGTAGTTGTCTCGAAATCTCTTTCCTCAATAAAATACAGATTTCTGATGTATGGAATGTCTGTCTGACTCAGGGACTCTCAGAAATAAACTTAAATATTTACTCTTTTCCAAAATAACCATGAATAATCTGGACCAGCTTTTGGAGTTTCGGTAAAATGTGTGAAGTTGTCATCCTATGCTATATATTTTGCTAATTTTATAACACAGCACCATGTCTTTTAAAAGTAACATTGAAGGTCACCGTCAGTTCTGCCTACAACTCTCTAGCGGTGTTAGATTGTGAATACAGCACAAAAGTGACTCCTGCTTTTAGAAGCTGTACCATTCAGTTTACACAAGCAAAACTTGGGCCAGTTTCATGTGTGCTACTTAAAGTGCAATCCTAAGCAGAGGTACACCCTCCTAAGACCAATGACTCTGATGTAACACTACTTATGATTGCACTGGAAGTGAACACTGCTAAGCAGGTCTACTCAGAGTCCTTTTCAGGTTTATTCAACAGGGCTTACTCCCAGGAAAATATTCTTTAAAATGTACTGTTAGAGTGCTTTTGAACTTCTTTCCTGCTATGGATGTGAATCTGTTAAAGAAGTACAATTTTAATGGATTTGTATCAGATTCTTTTTTAAATGGATAGCCAAGGTGAATTTTCAGTCCCTTTCAGCCTTCTCTTGAGAACACCTACCATTTGGGAATGGCTTTTACAACATTTTAACCTCTTTTCCCTATATAAATGAAAGAAGCATCAGGTCTGAAAGGTTAGAAAAGTGTACCATTATAGGGGGGGGGTTTAACCCCCTTCAACAGATTCCGCTGTAACAACATGGGTTTATAGAACCTTTTGGAGAAGGGAGGGGATGTTTCAAGCCCACAAAGGAAAAGCATAACTGCAGCAGTGGGATTTTAATGAAATCTTTTCCTCCATATTTGTGGTCTACACAGAATTAGGGCAAAGTAAAAACACCAAAAAAAGTGTGAGCCCCTCTTGAACTGCTCCATAAATTGAGTTTAGATGTGTGATGCATCAAATAGGATTTTACCATCATCCCTAATCTGAATGTTTGAAATTTGCCTACAATATAAAAGCAGCAGAATTCAATTATGCTTGGTGCAGAATTCTTGTTTTATTTATTTATTTTAAGCAAAGGTTACATGGAGCCCTGATTATAAAGAGTCAAACTATTTTTTTCCTAATTGTACATGAAATCCTGAGTTTATGAGTGTAACGTATAGTATGCTCCTACAACAGATTAACACATGCAAATCTTTTGAGTGACGTACACAGGGGTGCATTTATGTTTTCTACAGATGCATTCATTACGACTGCTAAGCCAGAATCAGCCTTCACAGATTTTTCTGAGTATGAGCGACAACTTCAGACCAGTCCAGCCTCTCAACAACCGATGTATTCGAACAAACATCAACTTTAGTTTACAGGGGAAAGATTGCCCAAACAATAGAGTACAGAAACTACAGTATAGAGGTATGCTTCAAACATGATTTCATTTTAAAATAATTATTTTGATAATTTTTTGCAGGCCTTTTTCTCACGTGCTTCTAAACATCTCACAAAATACTATGCACAAGGGGAAACTAATGTGACTAACCACCCAAGTCTGATCTTAGGGTGGATTGACACAAAGGTATTGAATTGAGGGCAAACTTTTTTGAAAAACAGAGTGTCTACACAGCGGAAACAATTACTACTTCGGAAGGAATCTCCGCCACAGATATCCAGACCAGTTCTTCGATCCTGAAGCAGTTGATATGAAAGGGGGCTAAATGCTTAATTCTTGTTGTGTATAACAAAAATCAGAATGGGTTCCAGGCACCTTGGATGGAACTATAAGTGGTCAGATGAGAAAGTAATGCCACTGCATCCAGAGAGCCTGAACCAACCTCCCCTTGAGCAGTCCTACTCAGAATCCTAGTTCTTTTCAACATGGAATAATAGCCAAGACAGTAGATAGGCTGTACTGTGGAATGAGAAGGAGAGAAATGAGTGATCATTCCAGACTCTTCCATCAGCAGTGCTGTACTACCACAATAGGGAGAAGGTAGCGGTTTTGCCCTTTTCTCTCTCCTCATTGTAGCCAAGTGTCCTGTATGGCTCTTACTCCATGTAAGTCCTGCAACCTCAGGAATCAACTTCCTATGGTCTGGGAGTGCTGAGGAAGAGGGTAAAGTGGGGAAGATCCATAATCCTTGTGTGAGCAGATCACCGTATCCAACCAAATTTCTATATTGTTGGTACCCCAAGGAAAAAAATTGCTGAAACAGCAAGGAAAAGACTTCTCCCACTGGCTTTATACTTGCAAAAACAAATATGAAAAATGGGCCCAGGCTAGCTTGATCTCATCAGATCTCGGAAGTTAAGCAGAGTCAGCACTGATCAGTACTTGAATGGGAATCACCATGAAAATCTGGTGTTGATATGTAGATGCAGACAAAGACAAGCCATCTCTGAATGTCTCTTGCCTTGAAAAACCTATCTGGTTGCCATAAGTTGTCTGTGACTTGATGGCTCATTCTACCACCACCCTTCATTGAAAGACGGAGGGCATTTCCCTAAAGCAGAAAGTCCTGCCAAAAATAGTGAATGGGCATAGTTCAAGCAGTAGTAATTTATGACATGCCTGGATAGAGCAAGAAGGCCTGTGGACTTGGCTGTAGCACACAATTTGCCTACTCCTTGCCAGCCATTCTGGTGTTATATTATTTTCTGCTCCAGAGCACAGTAGAAAAGAAACAAAGCACAGAAAGATGGAGTTTGTGTATATATAATCAATTCTGTATAATATTCTGCTTTGATACACAGCCAAGTCCAAGGGATTTTTTATGTCTAAAAGGAATTAATATTGTATCCTAGGGTTGCCAAGTCCTTAATGTGTGCAGAGCGGGGGACTCCAGCGCTGCTCTGGGAGTCCGTGCGTGCGAACCGCTCACGCACCGCAGTTACATCACCCGGAAGTGAGACAACCACGTCGGGCATGCCGGGGGCGGGGCCACAATCATCCGAGGGGAAACCATAGAGTTTTCCCTCGGATGACCGCAGCCCCGCCCCCAACGCGCCCAACGCGACTGCATCACTTCCGGGTGACGTGCTGACGCCGGGCACGTCACGTGCTTTGGGGGTGGGGCTCCCCCCGGGGCCCGATCCACTGGCGGCGGGGAATGGACCTCTCAGGCAGGGGTTTCCCCGCCCCCCGGGGGGACTTGGCAAGCCTATTGTATCCTCCTAATTCTAGTTTTAGAAATATTGTATCCTCCTGATTTTAGTTTTCTTCTCTGTTCTGTCTCCCTTTCCCCATATTTCCGGTAATATGTATTGGATTCATGCAATAGGTTGAATCCCAAAACTCCTTTCCTTTAAGTTCATTTCTATAACTCCCTTCTGCCAAGTCTTCTTCCAACAGAGAAAATCTTTCTCCATAAAAGCAGGCACCAGATCTAGCCCATTCTTAACAAGTGTTTTGGTTTGTTTGCAGTATTAGTCCTAAAGTCTATATTCTAATCTTTTTTTTCCCTGATCTTATGTAGTCATATTGTTGCTTTTCTGTACTAGATGTAATTATGGAAACCCACTTTTTTTCCCGTCCCCTTGCAGTAAACGAATGGCTGCTCAAGTAATTAAGTTGGAAGCAGGAAGAACTCTTAACCTCAGTGGAATGCTACTACTGTGAATTGACATAATACAGAAAGCCCCCAGCCTCATTCAGTCTTCGGTCTTTGTACTTCATAGATGGCACACACGGTCGTGCTCCCCTCTCCCCAAAGAAAAGGATGCCAAGTTGGGAATTCACCTAAATGAAATTTATTCATATGATCAGTCATAACAAAACAAAAAAAAGACACTATCTACTGTTAACATGATTACAATTTTGATACTGTTTTCCTGAAACTACTATAGCTCACCAACGAAAGACTTTTCAGACTTTGTACATATGAAATTCTTCCTCTGTATCCCTCTTCCCCTTCTTCCCCTTCCCATCATCCTCCCATTAAAAAAAAATGGTGGTTCACTACCGCATCCAAGTGGATTTGTGTTCTGTGTGCCGAGTAATCCTTGGAAAGCTCTCATATCACTCTCATTACTGGTTACTGGCAAAGCAGAACTAAATGATTGTAAGGGAAACTTATTTCTGGGTCATGATCCTTCTGTTTATTTACTAATGGACAGATACTGAGATAAGTTCTGTAAATAGATAACCTGAAGAATATAAAGGAAATTGAAATATTTTCCCCTCATCGCATAGCTGTAGTAGGAACTGCCAAGACTGGAATTAATCCATTTTTTTCTGTTTCTTGTTTTACAAAGGTCATACATTGTGTTTGGTTACTGTTATCAATTCAATAAATGTGTTTAACAAATTAATTTACTATACTTGCTTTGGTTTACTTTTTCCTCTTGAAAATAAAAGTCCTGTAGACCTTGGACTACATATTAAACAACCGTCCCTGCCCCTAAGAAAACTTGCATTGTTTCTTTGTGGTGGATTTGCATAAACTAATAGCACTTAGGAATGTAGAAATGAGTGTCAGTTTAATTCCAATGTATACTTTAAGACTGAGGCATCAGAACCTTATCAGGCAGTTCTAAAATATCGTGGACCTTATTCAGACAGCTCAGAGAATGACCCTAATACCCAGGTCAGCAACTAATTTAAAATGAGACATATTTTGAATCAACCAGCAGCTGAACACCCTGCAACTGTGATTCCCTGTGCTGAATTGTTTGGCTAGGGGTGGAGATACACATGGTGTGCCATTCCAATATCCTTTTCACTGATTTTAAAAAATATTTATTTACAGAACGTAGCCTCTGGGGCTGCAATTTCAAGGGAGAGACCAGCATCTGGGGAGGGGCTATTTTCCCGTCATTTCCCCACTGACAATTCCCTTCCCTTTCCCTAACCCTGCAAGCTGTTTGGTGGCCAGATGAAGAAAAATTATCGGCCCACACTTTCTCATTACCTCTTCCTCTCACATGCACCAGTACAGATGAAGAATTCTGCAGTTTATAATCCTGGTTTGCAAGAATAAAGTTATTAGATTGCCATGCAACAGGTGAGATGGAGGGACTGTTCCCTGAGGCACTTAAGGAAGCAGTGGTCTGCCCTCCCCTGAAAAAGCCATCTTTAGATCCGGCCGAATTGGCCAACTACCAGCCGGTTTCTAAATTGCCCTATTTGGCCAAGATGATGGAAAGGGCAGTGGCAGTTCAGCTACAGGGCTTTTTGGATGACGCTTCCATTTTAGATCCCTTCCAGTCCGGCTTTCACCCAGGCCATGGGATGGAGATGGCACTGGTCGCCCTCACGGACGACCTCTGGAGGCACCTGGATTGAGGCAGATCGGTGGTGCTGTTGTTGTTGGCCCTGTCGGCAGCATTCGACATGTTCGACCATCAGCTACTGATCCACCACCACGTCGACGTTGGAATTCAGGGGCTGGCCTTGCAGCAGCTTGCCTCCTTTCTCCAAGGTCAGGGACAAAGGGTGACGCGCAGTGATGGCGAACCTTTTAGAGACCAAGTGCCCAAACTGCAACCCAAAACCCACTTATTTATAGCAAAGTGCCAACACGGCAATTTAACCTGAATACTGAGGTTTTACTTTAGGAAAAAACAACTCATATATTAACATATTTTGTCTTAAAAGAAAAACACAATAACAGAGCTTTCAATGATACAAACAACTTTTTATTGAAAGGTAGAAGTTTGCATTTGGCATGCTTTTGAACAATTAATGTGATTTTTTGCTGTTGTATGCATGCTGATAATTTGTCTAACCTTGGCTCATACTTTGTAAGTTTGAGAGCAATACATGCAGCACTCAGGTCATCTGTTAGTCTGTTTCTGGTGTCAGATTTGATATAATTCAAAGCTGAAAACAGCTGCTCACAAGCATAAGATGATCCAAACAAAGTAAGGAAAGCAATCCTTCTATCTTCTCAAGTGTTTCACACAGGTCATAGAATTTATTTTTCCAGATAGAGCTTTCTTGAAATTCCAATAGTTCCATTTCCACATTTCCTAAATCTAACCAGTGTAAGCAGGAAAGATCAAGTCTACAGACTTAATGGAGGCCATTATTCAGCAGCAGCAGCTTGTCGCACCAGGAAGAGGCCAAGAGGTGGGCTGGTGAAGGAGGTCCCGCCAAGGGGATGTACTAAAAGGAAGGACAGGATCGCCCATTGGAAACAATGGGAAACACTTGAAGGCCCATTGGAAATAATGGGAGCCAGGCATGCCAATTGATTTGCATGGGCTCTATTGAAATACATTACAGTACAACTAGAGTTGCAATAAAAACACAGAATGGATTTTCCATTAGAGTCTCTGGGCCCAAACAGACTACCCTGACCTCGAGTCCTGTGCGCTGGAGGGAGGGAGGGGAGCGGTGGCAGGAAAGCGGCAGAGGCCGGGCTGCCCACCCCCCTTCCCAGGGACGAAGACGACAACACTGATGCTGGCGGAGGACGAGACAGAGGAGGAGGGGAGGGACACTCACTTGCAGGCTTGGAGGAGGCAAGGTGCCAGCCAGGTGGGGCTCGGGGCACAGAGAGGCACTCTCACTCAGGCAGGCTGCTGCTGGTGCTGCTCATCGCGGTCAGCCGCCTCGGAGGAGAAGGGGAGTTGCGGGGCACAGCCGGCTTCTCTTCCCCTGCTGGCTTGACATCTGCCTTGCATGGCCCCCACCCTCCATTTCAACTGCCCAATCAGGGGTCACCTGGGCAGCTGGGCGATGGCGCGCATGCCCACAGAGAGGGCTCTGAGTGCCACCTCTAGCACGCGTACCATAGGTTCGCCAACACAGCGCTAGGGGAACAGCTATCCCAGAGGCACCCACTGGATTGTGGTGTGCCTCAAGGGGCAGTGCTGTCCCCAATGCTTTTTAACATGCGCCCCCTTGCCCAGATTGCCCAGAGGTATGGGTTGGGTTGTCACCAGTATGCGGATGAAACTCAGCTCTATCTGTTGTTGGGCGGTCAGTCCAACTCCAAACCGGAAGATCTGGACCGGGCGTTGCAAGCTGTGGCTGGTTGGCTTAGGCTGAGCCGACTGAAATTGAATCCAATGAAGATGGAGGTCCTGTGCCTGGGTCGGAGTGGGCTGGGGTTAGGGATCCCATTCCTGGTTGCCTCCTTAACTATGGAGGCCTAGGTAGCAGCCACTGCCAAATCTGCCTTTTACCATCTTTGACTGATCAGGCAGTTGGTTCCCTTCCTCGAACACGATGACCTGGCGACAGTGATCCACGCACTGGTCACCTCGAGATTAGACTACTCTACATGGGGCTGCCCTTGTCTCAAATTGGAAGCTACAGCTGGTGCAAAATGCTGCAGCCAGGCTTTTGATAGGGCTCTCTAGATGGGAGCCCGTACAGCCTGTGCTGGAGGCGTTGCACTGGCTGTCAATAGCATACTGGATTCGTTTCAAGGTGCTGGTTCTTACCTTTAAAGACCTACATGGTCAGGGACCTACATACCTGAAGGACCACCTTTCCCTGTATGTCCCCCAGAGAGCACTGCGGTCAGGGGCTCAGAACCGGCTGGCCCTCCCGGATCTTAAGGAGGCTAGACTGTCAACAACCAGGACCAGGGCCTTTTTGGTGGCGGCCCCAACCTGGTGGAATGAGCTCCCAGAGGAGATCAGGGCCCTGTGGGACCTGCTATGGTTCCACAGGGCCTGTAAAATGGAGCTCTTCCACCAGGCTTTTGGGAGCCGCCACCACCGATGAAGAACATCGGATGGTTGAATGGGAGAAGGCCCTGGATTCCGGAAACTGCCACTAACAGCCTAAAGAACAATAAGCACTTGCAAGGACAATCAAAATGAACACTGTGAGCTGAGAACTGTGAATAATGGCTGCTACCGTTTATGGACAACAACGACTACTAGCACTTTATTATGGTTTTAGAATTGTTTTAATCATAATTTTGTCTTAATGTAATCATCTGTTTTTATGTAAGCTGCCCTGAGCCGGCTTTGGCTGGGAGGGTGGGATAGAAGTTCAATAAATAAATAAATAAAAATACACATAAGCCTGAGAACCCCCCAGTTTTGCCCATATAGCAGCTACATGTGGGTTGTCATTACATCTGAATCATGCCTCTCTCAACTCCTTTCCCCAGTTACAAGTGTGAAGAGCAAAGAGTTTTGGCAGAGTTCTCTGTTTAAGCACCTTACCAGATCACTCTAATGTTTCTGTGAATTGAAATCAACAGCTACAAGCACAAGGGAAAAAACTCTGAATGAGCCACAGTCCTGGGAGTGAGCCTGATTGAATACAGTGCAGCATACTTCTGAGTAAGCATGCATAGGACTGAGATGACCGTCACAGGTCCCTGCCACACGGGGAAAAAACGTCGGGCAAAAGTGTGGCTTTTAAAAGCCGCACCAAAATAGGCACGCAGTGGCGGGATCATACAGATCCCGTGAGCCGCCGCGCAATTACTCCCCGGCATGAACAGATGCCGGGGAGACAGCGATGGGAGGCTGCTGAACTGCACACATCTGAGCATGCGCAGTTCGGGCAGGAGTCGGGGATGCGCCGGCCGAAGGATGCGTCGGCGATCCCACGGCCATGCTTGCCGCGGCCGTTCTGGTAAGACCACCTCCGGAGGTGGTTTTTTGTTGATGTGGTTTTCTGCCGAAAGGGCCAGATCAGGGACGGGCGCACAATGTTTCCCAGATGTTGCGGTGGGATCGCGCCCGTTTGATGTATCCCCAATCCGTCCCTCTCCCGGCCCAAAACCTTTCGTGTGACCGGGGCCACAGTTTCTTTTTTCACAGTCGAGAAGAAGATCTCATCACACTTTTTCTTGAGTCTAGTTGGTTCCAGTGGTGGGGGCTTCCATAGCTGCTCCAAGAAGGAGCCGTGACAATGTAAGACTTTACAAAGCCACTGTGTCAGCTATGCTACAACACCTAAATAAAGCTGGTGACCTTCTTGGCTGACTTACTGCCTGACGTGTCACAAGATGATTGGTCACAAGAGGCTAGGAGATGAGAAAGAATATGTAGAGTTTGCCATTTTCTCTTCAAAGCGGGCTAGGCAGTGGCCAATGAGGGAACCAACTAGACTGCAGAGGCTGGGGCTCAGAGAAAGGAGGAAAACAAGAGTGTGCAAAAATCCTTGCTTCTGAGGCCACTGAGAGGGTCAAAAGTAGGTGTGGCTCTGATATGGGACCCCCTATTACATCAACTCCAGAATGTCTCTCTCCCTTTCTAGGCTCAGCACTGCTACAGAGTCACAAGAAATATGAACTAGTAATGGTGATGGAAGATTTATTTCACTTATTTATTCAGAAAATTTCTATGCCTCCTATCCAGGGAACCTGCCCAAGGCA